AAAAGTGGAGCTGAAAGGAGAATGAGAAGGCAGGATACGGCTGGACGGAACCACCAGATCACTGCATGCTACCCGAAAGCAATTAGGCAGCTAAAACGCCTTCCCGGCTCTCTTAACCCAGGTATCTATCTATCTATAACCCAGCCCAGGCCACTTGAAGCTGTATATAGTCTCAACAGACGTTTCCTGGGCGCTGGCAGGCAAATGTGGCCGAGTGGAGGCTATGAGCAAGCTGAGCATGTCAAATGCAAAGCCTTCCTTTTTCCTCCCCGTTGTCGTCAGATCGAACCACAAAGCAACGTGTGTGCTAAGGGGGCCGGGGATAGGGGATGTGCAGAATCAAGCCACTGTCGCAAATGAAATGCCGTTCCCAGGTTAAGTCAGCGGATGATCATCATCTTCACAAGCACCATCGCTCTTGGAAGATAACGGAAGGCAAATGGAGTGGCCTGTAAAGATCAAGACACACACAAAAAAATAACTTAACCCTTCTCCCAGCTATTAGCAACCCAGTGTATTCTGTTGGTAGTCAACCTAAACCTGTCCCGGGAGGCCTAGCCAGCCCGATTCGCCGAGGCTATCTAGGATCAGGCTTTCTCCGGGCCTCCCCAGAAACCTCGGATTGGTCAAGTAACCGGTTTCCGTGCCAGTGAGGTCAAGGGCGGCCCGGTGAGGGAACAATGGCTGCACGGCCCCGTCCAAGGCCGCCCGGCCCGCCGGCCTCACGGAGGGCGGGGGCGGCCGCGTGCGCCGGTGGCGGGTTCCCCAGTCGCTGACCCACGTCGCCCGGCGCTGGCGCTCCGGCCCCTCCCCCGCCCGGTGCACGTGAGGGCACCGAGGCCTGGCCGCCACCCGAGGAAGTGAGCGAGCGACTTGGGGAAACACGCTGCGGGCCGTCACCTGCCAGAACCGAGACCACGCGGGCCCCACAACCCGCAGAAAGGGGCCCGGAACGGATAAGGCCGGAGGAGAGGTGAGGGCACCCGGACGGAAGGCTACTTCCCCTGCAGTTCGCATCCCGCAGGGCCGGCCCCCCGCCGCCGCCGCCGCCGCCGCCGGGCCCCGCCCCTCCGCGCTTATGTAATAGCGGAGCTCTGCCATTGGCCGGAGCGACCGGAAGAGGCGCAGGCGTGCGCGCGGGGCGGGGGAGGAGCCTGCTGCCGGAAGGCGAGTGGGCGGGGCGACGGGGAGCGGGCGGGCGGGCTCGGGGCGACGACGGGGAGAGCTCCGCGCGTGCGCGGGCACGAGGCTCACTGGCCTTCCCAAGGCTGAGGCGGCGGCGGGCGCGCGCGGCGGCGGCGCGAGGCGCGGGCTGTTGTGCTCCCGGCTCTCCTCTTTCCCCTCCTCGGTGGGTGGAGGAGACCGAAGCGGTGCTGGGCGCGCTCCGCACCCCTTTCCTCTGCCTCCGGACGCCTCCCCCCCCCCCTCCCGGCCCCTTCGCCCTGCGAGGTCTCTCCGACGCAAGCCTGTCCCGGCCCGGGTGAGCTGCGGCGGGGGCGGCGCTGACGCCGCAGGACGCAGGGAGCGGGGTGGGCGTTCGCTGCCGGGGAACCGGTGGGCGTTCTCGCCAGCGGGGTCGGCGGGGAGGAAGGAGGGTCGCGGCGGATCGCGAGGGGCCGCCGGCCTTCCCCGCCTCCCTGGGGGGGGGGGGGCGGCAGGGCTGGCTGTGCCCCGGCGCGGGCCGCGGGAAGGAGGGGAAGCCCGGCGCCTGCCAGGCCCTGCAGGTGGCCGCCGGGGCGCAGGCCGGCCGGGGAGCTGAGCGGTAACCTTACCCGCTGGCGACGGCAGCTGGCCGGTCGGTTTTCTCGCCGCCGCCGCTGCCGGGTTTCCCCGTTGCCGCGGGGGCCGGGTCTCCGGGAGGCGGGTCCCCGGAGTGGAGGGTAGGGGGGTGGGGGCGGCGTGTGGCCCTCCTGGGGCTCCCCGAGGCGGGAGAGGCCGGTTCGGGCCGGAAGGAAGGTGGGCCAGCCTGCAGTGCACTGAGGTCAGGGGAGTGTGGATGACATACACCCGAGTCCTGATGCTTTCTCATCGTCTTCCCTTCCACCAAAGGCTGGAGTTACAAGCTGCGGGGTCTGGATGTTGGCCCCTGCACGGGCCTCTCTCTTGGTTTCAGGTGGTTATGGAGAAGGAGCCTGCTTCCTGGATCCAAAAATCGCCTCTCTCTACGGATTCTGGTTTTGGCTTTAAGAGAGTCTTTGGGGGCAGTGCTTTCTTTACTTGTTGCCTCCCGTAAGAGCTTCTCCTTTCAAAGGAACTCGTTATTCTTTTTACTACTTCCCTCTCTGCAGCCCCTTCAGAAAGCCACACTAAATGAGTTCTATTAAACACCAGCCTTCAGGTATTGGAAAAGGACCTCTTTGCCCCTCTTTTTTTTTTTTTTTTTTTTTTTTGGTCGCATTTAATCAAGGAGCAGTTAATGCTTAAGGTTTTGTAGAAAATTCGATCGGCTTGAGCAAGTCCTACATTGAACCGTTGTCCAAAAGCAGGTGGTCTGTTCGCTTTGCATTCCTGCTTTCGGAAAGGAAATCGGTGCAGTCTATGGTTAGAAGTGAGGGGCCTACCCCCACGAAGTTAGACTGTTTGATTCTATTTCCTTTATCTGGTGTTAAGTTTTCCGTTTTTAGAAGTCAGGAAAAAGTGACCACAGTCTTTTTATTTATTAAAGCTTCTGTGACTTTTTGGTTCGTTTTAGATACAATGGAAAATGGGTTAAGTCTAGTGTAATGTAGTGTAATGTATTTTTAGGAGAAGTCATAAATACAAAAGTTAAAAAAATATTGTGGGTCTAATGACACTGCTTTGTACAGATTACTGCCTGAAAGGGTTATCAAAATAGCTAATAACTTCTAGATATCAAAGAAACTACTGTGGTTTAGTGGCCTGACGTTTATGGGTTTTTCACCATCGCACAATTAAAAGGTTACTCACACAGTCAGTGTATTAACATACATAGCACACATTGCATGAAAGAGTTGAGGTGCAGGAGAGGACTGGAGTATTCTAACTTAAGGCGCTGGTACTAAGACACTGAGACATGACAGCATCTGTGGGTACATAAAGATTGAATACCTGTCTCCCAAATACTATGTAAGTATCCAAATCTGTTTTCATGGAGATAGGATTGTAAGCTTGCCATATCATTTGAACTTAAATGCACTTTAAAAAAAAAATCATTCCAAGCCAAATGGCTTAAAATTTTGGGTTTAAAAAAACACACAGAAATGGAAGTTTAATCGTTAAGGACTAGCACATCTGGTAATATTTGCCATAATTTGGTAGGAATAGATTCTTCTGTTAGCTAACATGCTAAACATTTTTGTAATTTGTTAAAATATCCAACTGGCTTCTTAGAAAAGCACTGGTTCTCCTCTATATTTTATTTGACTTGCAGTTTTTAAAGCTGGAGAGAACTTATCCAGTTGGTGTGTTTTTTCAGTTTCCCTTTTTGAGAGAAGCTCAGGCATTTCTATGAAATGCTTTGACCTTATATTCATGAACTATTTAGAGTTCCAGCCAGAAAAAAAGCCAGCACTCCTTTCTGGTGAAATAGAGGTAGAGCCATCCTATGTTCATGTCCTGCAATAATTTAAAAACTTAGACCAGGCACTGTGGCTCCGTGGCTGAGCATCCACCCATGAACCAGGAAGGAGGTCACGGTTTGATTCCAGGTCAGGGCACATGCCTGCGGTTGCTCAGTGGGGGATGTGCAGGAGACAGCTGATCGATGATTCTCTTATCATTGATGTTTCTATCTCTTTTCCTCTCCCTTCCTATCTGAAATCAAATAAAAATATACATATTTAAAATACAAATGAAAATAAAAGTTTAAAATTTATAGTCCACCAGTAGTAGAAAGTGGTATCTTTCATTTTTATTTTAGTATCCTTACCTCTTTTATAAGGGTTATCCTCTCAATTGGGAACTAATTTAATCTTATTTAATAATTTGTCCAGTAATCCTGCAAAGACCAGCTTTTGAGAAAGACTTAGAATAGCACAGTAGTTTGATGAAACCTAAGTAAGAGAACAGTTCCCATTGCTCTTAGGATCTCCCTGTGAGGCATTAGATGACAGCTCTTATTTCTCTTCAACTTGTCAGTCTCAGATGACAACAGTGAATACTGGAAGGGGAACGAAATGATTGAGGAAGGAGGTTAAACTTTTTTTTTTTTTGTAAATTCATAAAGTCCAAAAATATTAGGTGTATATGTATATAGCTCAGTGATTTTTACAGGTGTACACACCTGTGTAACCATTACTCAGATCAAGATATAGAACATTATCGGTGCCCCCAAAACCCCCTCCTGCTCTTCCTTCCCATTCACTACCTTCCAGTTAGCTTCACCTGTTTTGAACTTGTTACAATATATGTTGTTTGTTTTTGGGTGTCTTTCCTTTAAAACAGATGTAATGTTTCCTGTAGCATAGTTTCTTCTTTTTGATTGCTGCATAGTATTTCATTGTATAAATATACAAGTTATTCATTTTACTATTAATAGACATTTGGATTACTTCCAGTTTGGGATTTTTTTTTCTATTAATAGACATTTGGATTTTTTCCAGTATTACAAACAGTAGCTCTGAACATTCTGGTACTGTGTCTTTTGATGAACATACATTTGCATTTCTGTTGGATATATACCAATGTGGAATTGTTAGGTTATAGCTACCAACAGTTTTCCACAATGATTGTACCAATTATTCTCTAGTAGCATTGTATGTGAGAATTTGAAAACCCATACATTTTTTTAACTTTATTGTTGAAAGTATTACAGATTCCCCCCCCCTCCCCTTTTTTTTTTCTCATTGACCCCTTCTAGCCTGTACCCACTCCTCTACCTCAGGCATTCACCACACTATTGTCTGTGCCCATGGTTATGAAATGCCTACATTTTGTTTCTATGAAACCTAAGCTGTCAACTCTGAGACTATTATCATGTTTAGTTTACTCTGTATTCGAGTAAATAAATCGCTCTAATGCCTCAACTTCTGTTTTTAGACATGGCTCGCGGACAGCAGAAGATTCAGTCTCAGCAGAAAAATGCCAAAAAGCAAGCTGGACAAAAGAAGAAACAAGGACATGACCAAAAGGCTGCTGCCAAAGCTGCCTTAATATACACCTGCACGGTCTGTAGGGTAAGGGAAATTGAAAGACAGCTTTCCCATGCACAGTTTTTCATTAGAGATTGGTTTGCAATCATGGCAAAATAAATGCGTTACTGAGAGAGTAGGTTTAAGAGCTGGTTATTTTGGGACTCCCATCTTTCATTCAACAAATATTTTATTGAATGGCTCCTGTGGCCAGGCTGTTTTCCAGGTGTTGGGGAAAGGAGTGAACAAAGCAAAGTTCCTTTCCTCAAGGAGAATAAAGGTGCCTTCTTAAGGGAAAACAGTACACTTTGAACTTTGTAAAGAAGTCAGGTCTACATTCTTAATTTAGAGCTCAGTAAAACTATGTAAGATACCAGTGAATAAAACTCTTGTTATGTAATTGGCTTTTTTTCCTTTCACTAGGTCCATAGTTAGGATGTCTGTAAAACTAGAGATTGTTCATATTGAGGGCTTTTACTAGAATTAATGTGTTTATTAGATTTGAAAAATAATTATAGCAGCTGCTATTGAGTGCTTTCAAGTGCCAGCCACTGATCCAGGTGTTGTATATGTATGAGGCCACTAATCCACACAACAACCCAATGAGATAAAGTACTTTTAGTACCGTGTTTCCCCGAAAATAAGACATCCTTCGAAAATAAGGCCTAGCGCATGGAAAGATAAGACATCCCCTGAAAATAAGACCTAGTGCAACTTTGGGAGAAAAAATTAATATAAGACACTGTCTTATTTTTGGGGAAACGGTATATTCATTTTATAGAAGAATACATTGTCATGGGGATTATATCACTTGCACATGGTCATCCAATTAATGCATAAAAGAGCTTGGATCTTGCCTAAGGAAGTCAGTATAGTGTAATATTTGAGAGCTACAATACCTAGTACTAGGTTAATGATGATAGCAATTATCATAAGCAGGCTCAGGATTTTTTAAAAGTTTACACATTTATGAATAAGGCCTAACTCCTTTTTTGTACTATTTTTGTAATTAGACACAAATGCCAGACCCTAAGACCTTCAAGCAGCACTTTGAGAGCAAGCATCCTAAGACTCCACTTCCTCCAGAATTGGCTGATGTCCAGGCATAAAGTTGTTTACAGGTATTTGACTTTCTGTTGTTGTTGTTACTGTCAGGCTTGTATACAAGAACACAGTTGTTTTCTGTAACTGTGAAGTTGATTTTTACCTTCTAGCAGACTTTATTGCTTCCTATTTTTCAATTAACTTTATAATTATTAAAAGTCCATTTTCCCAGACCATATTCTGATGAAGTAGAAGTTCTTAACTACATAGAAGTTCTATTTTCTCTTGGGGGGATTGAGGGAGGCTGACCAACTCTGGTCCAACAATGGGAAAGACACGTGAGCTTGAAAATAACTACAAAAGTATTGAGGGTCTTGCTCAGAGAAATGATGCAGACCAATGTTCCTGAGTGCCTTTTGCAGGTACTTTAACAGTGCTTAGCAGAACTTGTAAGTGCATTAAAATATAGGGCAAAAGGTAGGTACATTGTATAAACTTGGTAGTTGCTTGAAAATAATCAGGTATTTTCTGTATGGTTAGTTTTTTTTTTTCTCATAAATGGTTGTAATGTTGATGTGAGGATTTTTTTTTTTAAATAAATCGAAGTTCAGTTTATAAAATCCCATTGTCAGATCTATCAGACTAACTTGGTAGCTTAGGCATGTGTTTTTTCCCTTAGGCATTTGAAACATATGTAAGTTGCATTTGTGCAATGTTGCCTTCACAGAAAATTTTGCTTATGTTTTATAGGTGAATTCATGACACCTTTGACTCTTCTACTGTCTCAGACCTTAGGTAACAAACCTGCAGCTGCTTTTCTAACAAACTGTTGGTCAGCAAAAATAAAGGGGCTACAGAAACACTCATTTTTATGCTGTTCCCTTTGGGCTTCATGCAAAGACAATTCTGTGTAAATGTACAGTTGACTCTAATTTGGAAATCTGAAAATCAGTCCATCCTTGTTATAAAAATTTTTTACAATTGTAATTATATTGATGTTCATATTGTGTAAAATAACTCATTTAATAAAGTAGTACTTTGATTTTACAACATCACAGGATAAATGGTTCTAGAAATTCTGTTCTAACTTTCCACATTATTTGCCTTATAAAAATCTAATGAATTCATCAGCTAGAATTGTAAGTGCAACTCGTAACTCCCTCTCAGCTCACTTGCAGATTCGTTAAACTAGATCAGACTCATTCATTAAATTTGTGAACACAGTTTTATTGGCAGCCGCTGATCTAAAAGAATGACTTACCTGCTGCCTTAGTATATTGCAATCATGTGTCATTTCCCCCTCTGATTGTTTGCTGTGTTTGAGGTTGGAATATTTCAACTTGCTATATGACTGTGCTATAGCTACCAGCCAGGTATACCATGTAGATATGTGATAAATTCCTAAAGCGGTTAGATCGGTAGTAAGCCCTTCTGAAAAACTAGGTTTTGAAGTATGTGTCATGAAATAATCAGTAAGCCTAATCACTTATTACAAAACATAATGAAACATGTATGAACTGGTAAAGATTTATCTTTTATAAATTATATTGGATTCTTTGAAAAGGCTTCAAATTCTTTCATTTGAAATTGAAACGCATAATTTTGGAGGAGTTTTTAGAAATTAATGATTTGACCAATTCTAGAATGAATTTTGCATAAACAGGAAGATTGGAATAACTTGTGGCTGGGTTAGTTCCCAGAGCCTTCTCTCTCCGTTCCTTTTTGAGTCATTGATTTTAGGAGTTTATTTTGTGCTGCTTCCTAAAATCAAAGACTGTGTACAGTATGACTTCTGTCTAAACTAGAAAGTATTAAAATAGGCCAGTGTCTAGATTGATTTGGTTCCAGGGATGGGGAAATGGGTTGGTTCAGATGGATGAGGTAAAGGAGACTAATTTTAGGGTTCTTCTAATTTGCTTTGTCAGCTATTAACTTTACGAGTGAAACTGCTGTAACTCAGTTGAAATTTTAAAGTTAATATAATAGGAAGAACACTCAAATATTTCCTGGTAATTGTTTAGAACCACAAATCGGATCCTGTGGATTAAAAAATGCATTCCCTCCTTGTGCTGCAACTCACTGCTGCATTTGTTTTGTAGCTGTGCATATTCTGCCCACCTTATTTGTCTTCACTGTAAGTTTAAAATAAGGTATTTTCAAGGAAAAGTTTCAGTGGTGATAGTTTCTTAGCAGTTCCTATTCTTATACTATTACTTTAATGATTTTTTTCCATGTATTTAATTTCCTGAGTTAAAGATTTAATATGTTATTTCCCTATATGTTGATTACCAGAACATTAGAGTTTGCCTAATTGCTTGTGGTGGGTATTATAGAAGTTATGGTTAAATTACAATTTAAAAGTTTTTTAAAGTGCTTTGAACATATGTATCTTTATGTTTAGCAACAAATTACTTAAAAACCGCTTAAAGTTTTTGTTTAATTTTTTTCATTTGTTTGACTGACTCTACTTCAGAATAAAAGCTTTTTGTTCTTGAACTTAACTCTTTTTTATAAGCAGCTGACGACATCATATTTAACTATATTTCAGTGATGGGAATAGCTGCATTCTCAACCTCTATGTGAGGATTATTAGTACAATCCCCTCTTTATTGTGTTTGAGCTAAATCTGCTATAAAGGAGAAATTAAAATTCTTAACTATCCTTGTTATTCAATTTGAAGATTCTTTAACAGATCCCAGCAAAGTTTATTATAAAACTGTTATGGTGTCTTCAAAGACTTGATAAAATACACTGAGAGAATTGGTCCATTGTATTCTGTATTTCCATTAGTTGCCAAAAGGAATGAGGTTAAGATTAAACTTATTTCCATTCTCCTTCGTATGGATCTACATCCCCTGTTTAACTGACACACTGGGAGCTCCATTGTGTGCTGTAATGTCTTATTAAAGGAGATATTAAAGAAAACTAAACTAGTCTAATTTCTTCTACATTGTAGGGGGTTTTTATAATGCCTCTTCTCTTTTAATTTTTTAACTTAGAATTTATCTCTGAGTTTAGAGCTCAGTAGTTCTAAGGGTGACAAGAGATTTCTTTCATTTCCCCTTTTTTTTCTGTAGTCTATTTTGGATCTATAGACTATTCTTAAAAATGAAAGGAAGAAGGTTGTAGTTCTGAAACCTCACTCTATAGAATAAGTTATTAGAAGGGGGAAGTAATTGACTTAATATAAAAATAATACTAAAAAATGCTTAGGTCAGTTCATTGAATTGGATGGATAAGTCCTTTGTGACATTGACTCAGATTTGAGATAGCACTTTTGGCTTTATTTAAAATACCATATAGCTAATTACTTACATTATAATTGAGTTTTGAGATGTATGTTACATGGATAAGAAAGACTTTACCAACATTATCATTTAAACTATTGAATCTGAATTCATTTCTGCTAGATTTTCATTTTTGTGGTGATTTAGGCTTTGATTTGGTTTTGGTCAGAGATACATCATTTTTGGAGTGTATAACAATGAAGATCAACACTAGGGGGTTGTGTTTACTGTGACTTTACATTCTGAAATCTTCCAGACTAGCCTAATTTTATCTATTGTAAAGGTTTTAGAAAAATCTTAGGCATTTCCAATGTATAGATTTAATAAAACATCTGTCAACTTGACTGAAAAAATAGATGTTTTATTAATAAAAGTTTATCCTGTCTTTTATTGTATATTACCTTATTAAGTTGAAAATCAAATGTCTTCTATTTTAAATGTTCTTTGGATAAACTGTTTCCTGAGTATACCATTTTGGGGGGAGGGGTTCTGTTTTTTGACCAACCATTCTTTAGCTCTAATTTTGTACTTAGTATGGCTTCATATTTTAAAATCTGCACATGTAGAAACAGACTTAAATTCTTTATTTATGTCCATATGGGCATATCTACCATGTGAAGTAGTTTTGGTAAAATCAGTATTTTTAATCATTTTTTATGTATACAACATCTTTTTCTATACATATTAATAATAGCTTAAGGTTTATATAGGCCACATAGGTACCTCACCTTATCACTGTTTACTGTCTTATAAAATTGAGAATGTAGCTTGTATTTTGGATTCTTATTAAAATTTTAATTACTAGGAAGGAAGCCATTATAATATTTCCTGTATAACAGTATAATGGTGTGTCTCAAAATGAGGCCTTATGGCTATGGTGACCATACATCCTGGTTTGCCAAAGACAGTCTTGTTTTAAGTATTTCATATTAAACATTAAATTAATATTACATAGTAAGGTAGTTCATTATAAGTTAATATTATCTCCTGTTATTCACATGTGTCAGTTTATGCCAAGTAACTGCTTTTTTTAAAATGTAGCCTTAAAAATACTCAGAAATTCTTACTCATTAAATGGGAACATGTGATACTTAGCAAGGTTTGTCTTTTAAAGTCCTTGAATCTATTTTTATTAGTTATTTTAAAACTCCTAACGGAGACTTAAATATCTGGTAAAATGAACTAGATTCCCAAAACTTTGAAATACCGGTAATTCACAGGTACTCATATAAACATAGTGTTTGTACCAAGTTCATACTTTTGTTTTCTATCATCTTTACTCCCAAAGGACTTAATGGAAAATGGCCAGTTGGGATTAGAGGTATTGCTACCTGTTACTATAGAACACTTATTGAGGAAGGAAGGGAAATCAGCATTGGCTGCAAGTTAGATGTCTGCTGGGCTAATAATATTAAAAACGTATGGTAAATCTTTTGATTTTGATACAGAGTACTTCTACATATTTGATTTGGATCTCTGAAGTTTTCTTTTTTATAATTCTTAATTTTGGAGTACTTTTAGACCTACAGAGAAGTTGCAGTAGTAGTCTAAAAGAGTTCTTGTGTCCCCTCACTCAATTTCAGTTTATCCCTAATGTTCTTTTTTAAAAATATATATATATTTTTATTGATTTCAGAGAGGAAGGGAGAGAGTGAGAGAAACATCAATGATGAGAGTGAATCATTGATTGGCTGCCTCTTGCAAGCACCACTGGGGATCAAGCCCACCACCTGGGCATGTGCCCTGACTGGAAATTGAACCGTGACCTCCATTCATGG